TGTAAGTCCTTCCTTCCTTCCTTCCTTCCTTCCTTCCTTCCTTCCTTCCTTCCTTTCTTTCTTTCTTTCTTTCTTTCTTTCTTTCTTTCTTTCTTTCTTTCTTTCTTTCAGCAAATGGGTGTGAGGGGCTGTGTGTGTGTGTGTGTGTGTGTGCAGGGCAAAATTAAAGAAAGCAGGACTTACACAGTTTCTCTTAAAAATATCAAAATTAGATTTCTGATGTTCCATTTGGAAATTTCAAGGTAAGAGCACTCACGTTTTAGAGCTAACTATGAATATTGTTTTAGTTTTATTACATTACAACTGAATTTACTTTATGTGTCTATTTCTCTTCCAAATGCTGAACACAGAAGTAGTTCAAAGGGGAGTTTCAATGGATTGTTCATCTCTTTTTTTTGGGGGGGGGGCTTCAAGGAGCTTACTATTTGGAGTTTCCAACCAGCTTATGGGAGAATTAGTCTTTAACCAATAATGAACAAAGAAGGTAATTACATTTTCATATAATTTATACAATTCTAATGAAAACATCTTCATATATTGATTACCAAACTTTGGCTCTGCTATAGAATGACTCTGTGCATTTCACTGCTGACTCAAAGCAGCTCATAGGCCAGCAAAACTGCCTACTTGAGCTACATACATTGAGGAAGAAATAGAAGCAAATATTTGTTCCTTACCCTCTTTCAACTCATTTCCCTGATCCTTCTTCTCTGACTTCTTACTATCATCCTTTAATTCACCTGGAAGTTAGTAATCACATGAAGGAGAATGTTAAATAATTGTAAACATCTCTCACCCAATTAAAGCACCTCAAAATAAATGCAGAGAGCAGAATAAACACAAAATATATAACATTTTTGTTACTGATGTTTTTTAACCAATTTGCTGTTTGAGAGATTATGGGATGGGTAGCCAATGCACTGGGGGAGGGAGAATTTCAGAAGGTTGTAGTATATCTTTTTATATATTCTGAGGCTTGTGAACTTGTGTGTGTATATACATGCACACACACACCCAGACACACACACACACACACACATACAGTCATTCATTCTGAGGCTTAATTCACATGCTGAGGCAAGAGGAAGCAACCTATTTGCCTGCAATTCTTAATCCCACCTGTTGACCCACAAATTTGGTAACTTTTTTTTTCCATTTTTTTCCCTGCAGAAATAAGTTCTTAAATTTTAAGCCTCATCAAATTTAACAAACTTATTTTGCATCTTAACCCCCTTCCTAAATATAAGGCCATTATCATCCATGACATGATTGTAGATGAGGCAGCTGACCTGGTGTGTATAACCGAGACTTGGGTGGGCCTGGAGGAGGGGGGCTGGAGTGGGGCCTGGAGGGGGGCTGTTCAGAGATATGTCCACCTGGGTTCTGAATTTGGTGTACGCTGTGTGACCAGGAAAGGGGGGCATGTCACTGAAGAGACTTTTGATAGTTCTGCAGATAACCAGATGTAAGACTCTCTGGCTAAAGGTGGATTCTAAGGAGCAGCTGGATTTGTTGCTGTTATATTGGCTGCCTTGCTATGCAGTGACAACCCTGTCTAAACTACTAGATTTCATGGCTGGGTTGGCAATAAAGTCTGCAAGGCTTATAGTTCTGCCCCATCAATTAAACAATGTCATCTGGTGGGGCCCAGGAAGCAGCCCTTTTCTGTCTAAGTACCTGCCCTCTGGAACAAAATCTCTCCAGAGATTCATATGCCCTTCACCCAGGTGTTATTTATATGAGCCTTCCCAACCTGGCTCTTCCCCCGGATTTTGGGCTAGAGCAGATGGCAGACCCCTTGTGGAATGTCTGGTCTGCTAGATATTTTCTCTGAGTGTTTGTATATTCTTCTGTATTGTTCTGTTTTAAATTGTTCAATATAATACACAGTATATGTTTAATATCATACACTGCCACTGGAAATGGGCAGCCTATCAAATAAATAAATAAATAAATAAATAAATAAATAAATAAATAAATAAAGGCAAGGGGGAAAAAACTCTTGGCTCCCATTTCCTAGTGACATCAGCATATCATTCCTATAGCCCCTGGAGGCACAAAAAAGTATCTGTCCTTGATTAAGCCCAGATTTGCTAACCATGATGTGATTAAAGAAATCATAATAAGGATCTTTTTTTAAAACTTTCCAATGTAGGCTACAAGTTGGGATTCCCAGATAATACCCCATCTAAGTACTAATATGAGGTTCAATACTTAGCCTTTCAAGATCAGTTAGGTGCTAGCATCGTATTTGCAATCTGAAATGTGCATTCAGTTTGAAATGTCTTTGTATCTGCAATATGAAATCAGACCATGGGAGATATAGTATACAGTATCCTTTATATTCACCATTTTTCAAACAGAGGGCTATGTGCTCTATCATCCATAGGCATCAGAGTGGGTGGGGGAACAAGAAGAAGCAAGTGATGAAAATTGTGTCACAGCATTGCAACACAAAGTGTGCATGAAACATACTTGTGTGCAATGCAGAGATCAAGTACAAAAGGACAGGCTTGAAATTGTCACAAGGCATCTTTTGCCACTTTGGCGCAATCATGATTCGGGACAATTCCCTATGATATCGTCTAGAAGCCTATGGGATCTGAGCTGGTTATATTTCTCTGTGTATGATGGGATTATTTCTCAGTTGTCAGCACCATGATTAAGACCGGGGCCAGCTTTAGGCTAAGGCTGAGCAGGCACTGGCCTAGGGCACCACTGCTTAGAGAGTGCCAACACTGCCCCTCCTTCCAAATTCTTCTAAAAATGCATCAACACGTGGTGGTGCCATCAGTCAAATGTGACCTAGGGGTGCCATTTAGCTTTCAGCTGGCATTGATTAAGACCCAGTCAGGATTATTTTAGTTACTCAGTTCAGTTAAATACTCTAGGAATTTTTAAAGCAATCAATAACAAGCATCGGTTTAAATATCAGGAATCCTATACTATTTATATAGAGGAGCAAACTGGTTCCTTTTGGCCCTGATTCTTTTCTGCTACTCAAATATATTGATAGCAATATAATGATATATAGATATAAATACACACATGCACATACATACACATACACACATGTACAACTCACAAAGAAACTTAACAAAGGAAAATGTTATGCACTGAAAGGCACTGATGTTATATATCAAATTCCCCTTGTCTGCTGCCCTCCAGAATGGTTGAGTCTGTTTCCTGAATTCCCAGAGAGTACGGCAGTTGTAGTTCAAAAAGTTCTGGAGGGCACCAAGCTGGGGTTCTCCATTCAAATTCTGTTCTTCTAAAATTGCTAAAATGGGTAATCCGGTTGATAAGACAGTAGTAAACTATCAATAGCAGGAATACATTTAATCACCACTGTGCTACTTTAAAGTTAACACAAATATGCAACTAAATGACTCATCTACCCATCTTAGAACAGCTAAGCAATAAGTGAATTTGCCCATAAATTCACTTCTGTGAAACTATAGAAGCACTTACCATTCTGTACATGCTGTTTTGACTCTCCTCCTATTGGTTTTGACTCTGCCCCCTTTTCCACCTCCGTTACATTTTTTCCTTGAGAAGCTCCATGTTTGCTACTGCCAGTTGGGCAAGTCCCGTTTATGTTGCTTTTATTGGCTTCAGTGCTCTTACTGTCTCCTGAGTTCCCTTCTTTATTCCCTTGTTTAGTCTTCTCTGACTTCGTGGTAATATTATCCTCAGCTGTCTTTTTCCCTTCATTTTCTTCTGTTTTCTTGTCATCTGTACCCTGTTGAGAATTCTCCTCTGCTTCTTTCTTTGTTTTTTCTTCTGTATCCTCAGCAAAACAAAGACAAAACAAGGGGGGGGGGGGGGGGGAAAAAAAAAAAAAATAGGGGGGCTTCCCAAAAACCCCCCTTTTTTTTTTTTTTTTTTGCCCCCAAAAAAAAAAAAAAAAAAGGGGGGGGGGGGGGGGAAGGCAAAAAAAAAAAAAATTAGGGGCTTTACCAAAATCCCCCCTTTTTTTTTTTTTTTTTTGCCCCCAAAAAAAAAAAAAAAAAAGGGGGGGGGGGGGGGGAAGGCAAGATAAAAAACAATTAGTGGACTTACCAAAATGCCTCCTTTGTTTTTATTTGCTGGAAACAGGTCTTGACATAAAGCCTAAAAAATGTTAAGAAATACCACTCTCACTTAGCTGAAATCTACTTCTTGCTTTCCTAAAACTGAGTTGGAACATGCTATCTTTGCTCATCCTCAATGAAGGGATGTGAGCTAGTAACCATTACCATTACATTTTGCTTGCCATTCAACCTATTTGCAATATGCATAAGCAATTACAGACATTTATTTATCTGGGCAGCTAACAATACTTAAAACTGTAACAAAACCAAAAATTCAAATAAAAATAAGTACAACAATAACATTAATACAACACTGCCAAGGTCCTCAAAAAAACCTTACATCCTACAACCATATAGCTGGGATCATCTAATATTCTAACCCAATGCCTGAGGGAGTAACCACATTTTTACAGCTTTCCAACACACCAACAAGGTTAGGGTAATCTGAATATTGGGGGGAATGGTGTTCCATAGGGCAGGTGCTGCAACAGAGAAATCAATGCCTGCTGGATCCCATTAGATGACACTGCTTCAAGAAAGGGACCCAGATCATGTCCATCCTGCCAGATCTGGTGTGATAACCTGAATTGTTGGAAGTCCCACAAGTAATCTGGCTCTACACCATGTAGGAAAAACTAGTACCTGCAATTGCATTGGGAAGACCACAAGGAGCCAGTGTAGGTCATGGAGCAAGGGTATTAGAGGGGCATACCACGGTGTGCCCCAAACTGCCCATGCCATCGCATTCCCAAATAAGCATGGAAAGAACTGCAATCATAATAAATCATTGGTTCAATGTGCATGAATTTGCTTATGAAAAAAAACAAATTTAGAAGTGAAAACAAACATTTTAATAGAGAAATATTACATCTCTACCCAAAAGGTAATGCCTGTTATAAGAAGGCACTGATACATTTTTAAGATACTTTTAAAATGACTTTGTATTTGTAATTAATCTGGACAGTTGATTAAATATTGCAGTCCCAACTACAACAATTACCAAAAGAGGTAATGCCCAAAACAAAATCCTCTATTATGTATAATGTTGTGTATGCTAAGCAGAGTTCAAAATGCTGCAACTTCCCTGCCAGTCTAAATGCCAGACACCATCTGACTTTAAATACACACCTTCTTTCAGGTGTGACTTTAACACAAATGCTGAGAAGACTCCCTCAACTTTATTACTCATATTCAGGGGGGGAAATTGTTCTTTTAAAAGACAAAGGGAGTAGTTCTATGGACACAGAGCTACTATGTCAAGGGCGTGTACCATCTCCTTAACAGCTCTGCTAAACAGCTGGAAGAAGCTAGGGGAGAGCTGAGAAAAAGAAGCAGAGAACTTTAGATAAATGTTTCAGCCAGGAATCTGTGTTAGACCTTTGTTTTATTTTGCTGTGTGTGAGAGAGTGAAGCCTTTTTTTTCTGATTATGTCTCTTCAAATTAGGGAATAGTGCACAATTCCCATAATCATCATATATTCTCGATTGCATGCCTGAATGCAGCTTTACAAGTCTTGAGGTCATCACTTTTCCTTGGTAGGCTTGGAGCTTAGTAAGTTTCTGAGCTGAGTAATAAAAAAGCAATTTGTGCTCTGACTGGAATCCTGTATCTTAATTTTTTTTTCCTTTTTAACTCATTGGGAAGCAGCAGTTTAACTGAGGCAGCTCTGCCTTCCTGTCTTTGAACAAGGAACAGTTGCATATTAATATCTGAAGTGAAAAAGGGCTTTTTTTTTTTAATTTGATCATTTTTCTCCTTTTTAATAAAGTGTGATTTGGTTTCTTTCCTATGGAAAATTGGTCTAGCTCCTCAAAAGAGGGGCAGGAAGGGCTGATGCATTACCAGGAGATGGTGCTATAGAAACCGTTTCATTTTTTCATTTCCCTTTTTCTTCTGATTCACCAGAAGGTCAGTACAGATTGCTGGGTGCCCTGTTGCTCGCAATGACTGGGTTAGAGGGAGGATGTCAACTGAGGTGCCCTGCAAGATATGAGGTGGCAACCAAAAAGCTACTCCAAGGCTGGAAGGCAGGCCTAGGTTGTATAGACCCAGAAGGCTTCTGGGAGAGGTTTGGGACCCCCAGAATTTCACCCTATGGACACAGCTGTGCAGCTCCAAATGTCCACATTCAGGCTGTTATTCAATGGACACAAGCAGAGCCAGCAAAAAATAAAAATAAAAAAATAATGCAGTCCTTTCAGTAATTTGGAGGTGTGGACTATAGAAAATTCATAATGCCATTTTCAGTAAAATAATAATAATAATAATAATAATAATAATAATAATA